ACTACAATAAATATTTTGTCACAGTTAACCAAAGCTAGATTTGCTTTGAAGCGAAAATTCGATGATCTCAAACAAGTCAAAAATCATACGAATTTACAATTGGAGGAAACTTTTAAACCTATTACTGAACCCTTACATGAACTTGTTAAGGAAAATAAAAAACAAAAGATTTCTAATGTAAAAGATAGTATAAAAGTAAAGCGTGAAATGAAGCAAATTAAGAAATACGATGATGATGAGAGAGAGCTTGACGATTTCTACTTTACAACTAATGAGAAAGATCCGCAGTCTAATCGAAACATAACTCCACCAAGGTCTTTCGATGATAGTGATTCCTATAATCAATTCTTTTCACAAACGAATACAGAGGAAGATATAGAAGAAGAGAAAAAGGAAACGGAAAAGAGTGAAGAAGAAGGGACAACACCTTTACCAATGATTATGAATAAATACTATAATCTAGAAAAAAGAATGAAAATGATTAAATAACATAATAAAACATGTTCGCAGTACCAAAATAAACTTCTGACTTTTTATTTCGAGTTAAAATTACAGGTACGGAGAATGGAAAATATTTCCTTGACTGAGATATGTCGGCTACTTGCGAGCTGTTGCACGGTCGTGATTTCAACCCCTATTATGGGAACGTCGTATGAGCTCGTATGAGGTCGTTGGCGTGAGGCCCATGATCTTGTCAATGAGCGTGCGCCTTCTATTAATATGCTAATTGTCCCAGAACCCGTCTTTCCCTACTACTAACATATAACATCCTACGCTTGTAAATAACATTTTTTAATTCATTCTGAATTTCGAATTTAATTTTATCAAAATCGGACGACTATATTATATAGCTGCCATAGGCACGATCGTAAAATTGGTGGGAAAATAATATGAAACAAATTATAGCTTCGGTGTTCCTTAACATATAACCTCCTACGCTTGGAAATAACATTTTTTAATTAGTTCTGAATTTCGAATTAAATTTTATCAAAATCGGAAGACTGTATCATATAGCTGCCATAGGAACGATCGTAAAATTGGTGGGAAAATAATATGAAACAAATTATAGCTTCGGTGTTCCTTAACATATAACCTCCTACGCTTGGAAATAACATTTTTTAATTAGTTTTGAATTTCGAATTAAATTTTATCAAAATCGGAAGACTGTATCATATAGCTGCCATAGGAACGATCGTAAAATTGGAGGGAAAATAATATGAAACAAATTATAGCTTCGGTGTTCCTTAACATATAACCTCCTACGCTTGGAAATAACATTTTTTAAATAGTTCTGAATTTCAAATTTAATTTTATCAAAATCGGACGACTATATCATATAGCTGCCATAGGAACGATCGCAAAATTGGAAATAAAATTATTAATTAGTTCTGAATTTTGAATTTAATTTTATCAAAATCGGACGAAAATAATATGAAACAAATTTTAGCTTCGGTGTTCCTTAACATATAACCTCCTACGCTTGGAAATAACATTTTTTAATTAGTTCTGAATTTTAAATGTAATTTTATCAAAATCGGACGACTATATCATATAGCTGCCATAGGAACGATCGTAAAATTGGTGGGAAAATAATATGAAACAAATTATAGCTTCGGTGTTCCTTAACATATAACCTCCTACGCTTGGAAATAACATTTTTTAATTAGTTCTGAATTTCGAATTAAATTTTATCAAAATCGGACGACTATATCATATAACTGCCATAGGAACGATCGTAAAATCGGTGGGAAAATAATATGAAACAAATTATAACTTCGGTTTTTTTTTTTAACATATAACCTCCTACGCTTGTCAATAACATTTTTTAATTCATTCCGAATTTAGAATTTAATTTTATCAAAATCGGACGACTATATCATATAGCTGCCAAAGGAACGATCGTAAAATTGGAAATACAATTTTTAATTAGTTCTGAATTTTTTTATACCCTTGCAGAGGGTATATTGATTTCAGTCAGAAGTTTGCAACGCAGTGAAGGAGACGTTTCCGACCCCGTAAGGTATATATATTCTTGATCAGCATCACTAGACGAGTCGATCTAGCCATGTCTGTCTGTCCGTCTGTCCGTCCTTTTCTACGCAAACTAGTCTCTCAGTTTTAAAGCCATCGGGCTGAAACTTTCCCAAAAGTCTTATATCTTTTGCAGGTAGTATATAAGTCGGAACCAGCCGGATCGGACAACTATATCTTATAGCTCCCATAGGAATAATCGGACAACAAAATTAAAAAAAATTATATCTTTTGTATTTTTTAGCATATAACCTCATAAGCTTGGAAATAACATTTATTAATTAGTTTTGAATTTTGAATTAAATTTTATCGAAATCGGACGACTATATCATATAGCTGCTATAGGAACGATCGGAAAGTTGGTGGAAAAATAATATGAAACAAATTATAGCTTCGGTGTTTTTCAACATATAACCTCCAACGCTTGGAAATAACATTTTTAAATTAGTTCTGCATTTCGAGTTTAATTTTATCAAAATCGGACGACAATATCATATAGCTGCCATAGGAACGATCGGAAAATTGGTAGGAAAATAATATGAAACAAATTATAGCTTCGTTGTTTTTTGACATATTATCTTATACACTCAGAAAAAAAATCAAGTATTTCGTGCTTGAACCTAGTATTTTCGGTGTCAAAACTTCGCCAAGCATGGAAAATACAGAACGCGAGAACAAAATACTACTTTTGAGCACGAATTTTCAAGACCCAAAATTCTAGATTTAAGAACCTTTCGGTCTTGAACCTAGTATGAATAATTCTCAAATCAAGTTATATTTGGACTAAAAACAAGAACGATTTAAGAATAAAGTAAAAAGTTGCAGGCATGATTTAAGGACGAATAATTCTAAAATCAATATATAAATATTATGAAATTAAAATGAGTTTTTATTTTATGCTAGTAAGAGAAATAAGTATTGGAAACTGAAACGAAATAATCGAGATATATATAAATAATATTAATATTTTAAGTTTACTTACGACTTGCCGCTCACGGGCATTAAAATTGTTTAATGTATGCGCCTTATATACCGAGTACTTTCAGAATAAACAGTTGGGAATTTTTAGAGTTGGCAGACATTAAAAATCCAAAAAGTGCTCAATATCAGAATTTTTTGAGCACGAACGTTCTTAAATGTTAAGCATGCAATTTTTCTTAAATTAAGGCTGGTTGTACTTGTTTTTAGCACGGTGTTTTTCCCTGAGTGTACTATTGGGAATATCATTTTTTGTGTTTTTAAATTTAATAATTAAAGGTGCAAGGGTATATAAGCTTCGGCTTGCCGAAGCTAACTTCCTTTCTCGTTTAATTTAAAAATCTAAACACGATCGGCGAAATGTTCGCGAAATGCCCCGCAAGGCAAATTTGAGTGCACAGTCGCAAAGAAACGCGAGAAATAAATGATACAAAAGAGATAAGAACGTAGTCGCCCGCTAGCTTCCCTCCCTTTTCCCCTTAACGCCCCCAGGGCGTACAAGCAGCGGCGTCAGAGCTCGCTAGTGGTCGCGCATGCGCCCCTGTTATCACATCCCGGGATTTTTATGTTTGTAGGTTTTCGTTCTAGCAGATCCACAAATGCTTTTGTTGTTTTGATTTTATATTTGCTTTTATATATTCTGCGTTTAGTTTCTTTTGGCTGCACTGCAGTCGCTGTGCGACTCATTTTTGAGATTACGATTTGCGAATCCAATCCAGGGCTCAAATTATTAGTTTTAAAATATTATTCAAATATTTGTTTTCTTTGTATTTTTTTATTAAACGTCCATTTTATGTTCTAAGATTTATTTGTTCACGATTTTTAAAACATCTATTTTTAATGTTTTATTTTAGAGTTAGGCAATATATTATAATGATTTACAAACAGATTTCTTAGTTGAACTCAAGCTGGGGCAGCACCGGTAGGAACGTGTAAAGGGGCCGTGGGAAGAGGTCTTCCCCTGGAAGTAACGGCCACAGATAAAGTAGGCAATTGACCATTGGAACATCAGTGGTCATGTCTAAATGTGTGTGTGTAAATATGAGGTGTCAGTTCGTATTTATACCCGTTACTCGTAGAGTAATAGGGTATACTAGATTCGTCGGAAAGTATGTAACAGGCAAAAGGAAGCGTTTCCGACCCATAAAGTATATATATTCTTGATCAGGATCACTAGCCGAGTCGATCTAGCCATGTCCGTCTGTCCTTCTGTCCGTCTGTCTGTCCGGATGAACGCTGAGATCTCGGAAACTATGGGAGCTAGACTATTGAGATTTGGCGTGCAGATTCCCGAGCTTCTTACGCAGCGCAAGTTTGTTTCAGTAGAGTGCCACGCCCACTCTTACGCCCACAAACCGCCCAAAACTGTGGCTCCTACAGTTTTGATGCCAGAATAAAAATTTTAAATGAAATGTAATGTTCTCATCAATACCTACACTCAGGGAAAAACGCCGTGCTAAAAAGAAGTACAAACAGCCTTGACTTAAGAACGGTTTAATGCTGAACTTTTTGAGAACGTTCGTACTGAAAAATTCTTAAATTGAGTACAATTTGGATTCAAATAAGATCAAGCAGAAAAAATTCTTAAATGAATTACGAAAGTTTTCAAATCAAGATTAAAAATATTTCGTTCAAGACCGAATACAACTTAATAATAGCACAAACATTGTTTGCAACGTTTTTTTTTTAATAAAAGTAAAGATCTGGGTAAAGATTTGAAACAGATAGTAACTGGAAAGATCCTTATATACTTGCAATTAATTTAATTAAGTACTAAAATTATATTATTTCTCAAAGGGTGTCAAAATCTTCTTCTTCGATAAAGGGTAAAGTCAGACTATCAAATTATTTGATTTAAACAAAGTTCTATACATTTATGGCTAGCATTTTTAAATGCAAATTTAAAAAGATATGTTTTCATTTTTATAAATGTTATATTTTAATCGGCTGACCGTAGCTTTTGGATTTCTTGACGTCCTCGCCGTTCTTTTAAAAATCCTAGAACGGTCACACTTGGCTTATAAGCGTCTCAATTGACCCAAGCGTTTTCGCGGCACATACATAAGTGAAACAAAAAGTTATAAAAATGACTGAAAAGAATGTGAAGAGGATCCACTATATGAACTTTTAAAAAAGATGGAAATTGAGGAAGTGCATACATTTCTAACAGGTAAGAAAAGCACGCGTTTTTTGGTGCAGTTGTAATATTTATACATAGCGGTAAAACATTGTGTTTATGTATATACATATGTGTGTACATGTGTTATTTTTGCAATTCAGAAACGCATCCCTGTCCGTTTTGTTTTATAAATTATAAAATATGCCTTACCTTCAAATGTGTACAATGTACATAAATACGTTTGTAATAAGCGGTAATAACATTTCTAGAATCTTAGAAATTCTGTACTGGGTTCTTTCACAAATAACTGTAAGCACGTACAAACAAGTGTACATGCATATATAATTTTACCGTCATTCGGCGACTTTTCGTTTACATAAAAAAGAGGGATACAAACGCCGACTAGTGGCTTACTGGTCAGCACAGTTATTAAATTTCGTGGAATTCGTCCGGAGGTGTTTGTATTCCTCTTTTTTATGTAAACGAAAAGTCGCCGAATGACGGTATAATTATATACATATGTATGTACACTTGTTTGTACGTATGCACTTTTTACGCGAGAAACACGTGCTTACAGTTATTCGTGAAAGAACCTAGTACAGAATTTCTAAGATTCTAGAATTGTTATTACCGCTTATTACAAACGTATTTATGTACATTGTACACATTTAAAGTTAAGACATATTTTATAACTTATAAAACAAAAAGGACAGGTATTGAATGTGCGTTTCTGACTCGTAAAAAGTAAACACGTACACACATACATACATATATACATACACACAATGTTTACCGCCATTCCGTCTCTCTTAGCTTAGTTGGGACGCCAGCTAATAATATGTGTATGTTCATAATTTGTAACTCCCTTGTCAATATCATAAATTAAACCTATATTTTTACTTTATTTACATATTTATATAAATTTAAATATTTATTCGCATCAACTTAGCTGCCAAATACATGAACGCCGATGACATTAAGGAGGCAGTGCCTCCATTAGGTCTGCGCATAGAGTTTAGACAAAAACTCTTCAGATGGAAGGAGTCTGAGGTATGTTATTAGTCAAATAATACAATAATAGGGCTTAAAGTATTTTTAATTTGCAGGGTGGAGATGAAGACCAAATTGCGCCACTACCCTCTTTTGTCAAGCCAGACATCAAGGCTCCCCTAAAGTTCATTTTGAATAAAAGTTTCCACTCCTTACTTAATGAGTCTCGAAAGGGCATGAAGATTTTGGAACACGAAGAGACTCATCTTTATCTTCCCCAAATGCTTCGGGACGAACTTATTTCTGTTATAATAGAAGAGGCCATGCTCGAAAACATTACGATTAGCGTTCCAGATTTCCAAACCTTGCTAGAGGAAATATGTTTTGTTCTCCCAAGCCAGATAAACGTTAAGGTAAAAACATAATGCTATAAATAATTTGATTTGCTTTTTTAATTTAGAATTTAATTAAGAAAAAATATATATTTATTTTTATACCCTTGCAGAGGGTATAATAGTAGTTTCCGACCCCATAAAGTATATATATTCTTGATTAGCATCACTAGACGAGTCGATCTAGCCATGTCCGCCTGTCCGTCCGTTTCTAGCAACAATCCTTAAAAATGTAACATGGTGTTACTAACATTGATTATTTCTTATAACTGCAAGGGTATACAAACTTCGGCTTGCCGAAGTTAACTTTTTTTCTTGTGTTTAACATTTTATAAATATTTTTGTTTTTCAAGATTGATATTGATTTCGACCTTATGTATTCTGGAAAAGGTTTTCATTTGCTTTCAAAGTGGCAAGAATTTCGGCAAAAAAAATGTGTTATTACGAAGACAAAATCATTAATGAACATTGCAAAGCCCAACTCTTGCTTGTTAAAAACTGCACCAACATAGGTAAGCTTAACATTTCTTGTTATTTAATACCTAAGCATAGAAAAGTTTGTATTTATTTTGTGATTCACTGTTTTTATACTAATACTAATCATATTTATACCCGCTTTTTTGACAAAGCGAATACTATACCTTTTATTTGTATTATAAATATGTAATGATAAACTATTCTAATATAACAGATGCCCAGGACTTCATAATCGCCACATTGCTGAATGCTGTTTTGCCCTCATCAGCCCCCTTCAAGAATGAAGATGGAAAATGTACAAGAAAGGCTACAATACTGGACTAGTAACTATTAATGACTTAGATATTCAATTGGACCGAGTCATAAACAAGTATTACAGTTCGGGTCTTAAATTACAACCTATTATTATTGTAGTTGGTCTTTTCGATTGTGAGATCAACGAATTTTAAACATTAATGAAATAACTACTCTTCTTTTGCTTTTATATACAATAAACAATGGAAAATCGTATCTTAACCCATTCGACCCCAGCGTTGCCTGTGAGCAATTTCAAATGTTTAACGGCTAACGGTAATCGTTTCTTCTATTATTGTCTGCTTATTCTTCGACATAACGGTGCTTGTATGTGTGTACTCATAATGTGATCAAAAAAAATCGAATTTGCACATCATTTGACGAAATTGTTTTCAAAAGAATAGACGTGCGTCGTAAAAAAAATTGTTGTGAAATTCTGAAGAATATTTAATGTGACTGATTTACTCATAAAATATATATAAAAAGGCTAAAAGTAAACATGAAATATTGTTAATCAATGAATAAGCAAAACTTTGCTAAGACTTAATTTAATTAATTTTCAATAATAACGAGGTGACAAATTTTCAAAGTTGTAAAGTTGCTTGTGGGCAACTTTGGGCCGTTGGAATACAGAATATATATACACCATAGTATGAGACCGAAAGAGAAAGGTTTATCAAATGATGACATTGAGAGGATTATCAACTTCGATTGGGATGCCTCCACTGACGAAGAAAGTGGTGATGAAATGGAAGATATCTCTGCAGTGCTGGAGAAGAATTTAAAAGATATCGTGGACAAAGGAGAATCAATAGAAATTGAATATATTGACAACTTTATCGAAGAAGAATGTAACCAGGAACCTAGTGCTGTGGCTAAGAGTTGCTTTGAAAAAGTTGATCCCAAGACATTAAAATGGAGAACAAGGCCATTTGAAGCTCCAAAAAGTATTTGGGAAGCAGAGGATAAACTCCAAGTCGGTAGCGTCATGACACCTGTAGAATATTTCTGCACCTTTTTTGATATCAAAGTAATTGACTTGATAACAAATCAAACGAATTTGTATGGGTTGCAAGAGCACGGCATAGAGCTTCAATGCACCGGAGATCTTATCAAGCGATATATTGGAATTTTGTTATACTTGGGAGTAATAAAAGTTCCGCAACTGAAAATGGCTTGGTCAAAAGAGTTAAAGCTTACTGCTATATCAGATTCAATGCCACGAGGAAGGTTTGAAAAAATCAAACAATGTTTACATTTCAACGATAACACTAAACAATCCAAAAAAGGAGATGTGAATTATGATAAGCTGTACAAGATACGCCCTTTACTAGACATTCTCAAAGAAAGTTTCGGTAAACTACCCCAAGAAGAGCATCAAAGCGTTGATGAGCAAATCATTGCGTACAAAGGTATTCAAATTTAAATTTTACTAGAAAATATATCTTCAATTTAAATTTTGTTTCCAGGTCAATCCTCATATAAGCAATACAATCCAGCTAAGCCTCACAAATGGGGTCTGAAAATGTTTACTCGTGCTGGAACATCTGGATTAGTTTACAACTTTACGCTGTATGTTGGTGAAGGCACCTGCCCTTGTTTTGGATTGGGAATATCATCGGATGTAGTATTATATTTAGCAAAAGGGCTTCCCGAAGGCAAACCTTTCAAGCTTTATTTTGACAATTGGTTTACGTCAGTAAGTCTTTTGATTGCATTGAAGGAAATGGGCATATTTGCAACTGGAACTATCCGCAAAAATCGCATAAGCAATTGCCAACTTCTTTCAGATGCAGAATTGAAAAAACGTGGAAGAGGATCTTTTGATACAAAATATGAAGTTAACAAAAATCTTGCATGTGTAAAATGGTTTGACAATAAGTCAGTTCAACTTCTATCTTCGTGTGAAGACCATCAACCAGTTGGGATATGCAAACGATGGAGTCCAAAAGATAAAGCTTACATTGATGTAGCAAGGCCTGCTATTGTAGCTTCGTATAATAAGGGTATGGGAGGAGTCGATTTAGCGGACATGCTCATGGAGTTTTACAAAGTCAACCACCGTTCCAGAAAGTGGTACATGAGAATTTTTTATTGGTGCTTGGGAACATCAATGACAAATGCATGGCTACTGTACAGAAAGCATTTTCAAATGATAAATCCGAACCAAAAGTATATGCCGCTTATAAAATTTCAAATGGAAGTTGCTCATGAGCTGCTACAATGTACTGACTCTACTTTGTTCGAAAAAAAGAGAGGACGGCCATCAAATGCACAAAGGGAAAGCTCAGTCATATCCTTGGGGTCTCCATCAAGCAGTGTGTCTTCGAATCAATCCAAAAAATATAGGTTTCAGCCCGATCCTACAACTTCTCTGCGTTACGATAAATTGGAACATTGGGTGGTATTTGCTGAAAAAGGACGTTGCAGATTGTGCAAGACAGGTACTCCAATGTCGAAATGCAATAAATGTAAGGTCCACCTTTGCTGCAACAACAATAAAAACTGTTTTATAAGTTACCATACTTAAATTTTTAAAATAAAAGAAATTAACTGTCACCTAAGGATTTTTCTTTAAGTTTACCACCACTGCCCAAGGTTGCTCACAAGCAACTTCCGGTAGCGCCAAAAATAGTGGGCGTGGCGCCTTAAAAATTTTTCTCAAATACTTCTAAGGCCAATAAAAAACGAATAGAGTAAAAAAAAATTTTTTAATTCTACAGGGAAAAAGTTGGGGTCGAAAGGGTTAAATTTAAGTATATATAGAAACAATAAACATGTGAAATAAAATTTAAGCCAAAACAATAGCTTCTTAAGCGTATATAGAAAATGTAAAATAAAATGAATATCAAAACAATAGCTTCCTAAGCGTATGTAACAACTGTATGCAACAACTGTAACAACATGTACAATAAAATGTAAACCAAAACAATAACTTCCTAAGCGTATAAAAGTTTCTGAAATTTAGTTTTACCATACCTTGTTTTAAGAATGGAGGATCCAGTTTTAAGAAGTAACAGTTCTTAGGTCTGGCATGATGTGATCTTAATATAATAATTATTCCTGCTTAACTTAAAATTTATATTGTCTTAATTTAAAAATGAAATGTTCTTGAACTTAGTATTTTTACTCTAGCTTCCAGAGTATAATTTACTGGGTTTAGTAATTGTTTGTTCTTAAATCAAGCCTAAAATGTTCTTAATTTATTAATAAATCGCACTTATTTCAAGTATATATATGTCTAGACTTAAGAATACTTTATTATTGTTTTGAGAAAGCTCCATACTTGATATTAATCCTCAGCGTTCTTAAGTCGTACTGAAACCAAGAATTTGCGGACTTGAAAATTCGTGCTTGAAATAAGTATTTTGTTCTTTGGTTCTGTATTTTCCATGCTTGGCGAAGTTTTGACACCGAAAATACTAGGTTCAAGCACGAAATACTTGATTTTTTTTCTGAGTGTATCGATTGACCCAAAAAAAAGTTTGCCACGCCCACTCTAACGCCCACAAAGGGCGAAAACCTGTGACGTCCCCAATTTTTATGCTAGATAAAATTTTAACTGAAATGTATTGGTCTCGTCAATACCTATCGATTGGTCCAAAAAAAAATTTGCCACGCCCACTCTAACGCCCATAATGCTTAAATTTGTATACTGCCGGTAGGTGTCACATTTTAATCTCGCTTTGCTACTTGCATATCTCTATTTAGCTGAGTAACGGGTATCTGATAGTCGAGGTACTCGACTATAGCGTTCTTCCTTGTTTTGTATGTGTATCTGTGTGGCAAATTTTTTCGCAGCACGCCAATTTTAAGATAAGTTGACAATATCAAGGCATTTTTGGTGCAACGCCCCTATACCATCCCCTCAAACCGACGAGCGCAGCCGAAACATAAAAGCGTGCGTTGCATCGGAAGATTTTCCAGCTGCCAATTTGAACGTTGTTCATTACAGATGTATAGTTGTTTGTTTATTTTTGGCGCCCAACGTTAAGGCCTTATTTATTAATTAACTTAATAGAAGAGACTCACTAACAAAATTACGAACTGTTCTTTCTTCAACCATTTTTTTTCAAGAGTGATTAAAGACTTATTGGCATTCAATATATGAAATTTCGAATTTCGTACTTGACCATAAGCATCTTTAGGTCCAATATTTTAATTGCCTAGAATTTCTGTCGAAAACTTCCGAGCTTCTCACAGAACCTAGCAAATCCAACTGCAAGATATGCTTCGTGGAATTGGGTCCTGGGATTAACCACTAAAATCGGGTAGAGTGCAATGTTTGATGGAAACAGTATCTGTGATAGATGTCTGGCCTCAAGCACACAGCTTTACTTGCCAACATTTTCCCCTCGTAAATTTGACATTAAAGATTTTGTGAGGTTTTTATATTTTATGTTTATTTATCAGTTTTAAATCTATTTACCCATTAATTACTATACTACTTTGCACAATTTGTACTTTTAATATTATTATCTTTTAAAACCCATATATATTTAGAAATTGTCTTCACTAATTTTTTTAACTTTAATATATCCATCATACCATAATTATTTAATATTATTATATTCAAAATGGGATTAGAACGGGATGATAACCCTCCTCCAGGGCCAGGAAAAGCCAACTGCCCCTTGAGTAATAGTCCAATAAAATCAGAAGAGGAATCCTATAAAACCCCTTACAAACAAACTTTTCACAAAAATTGCATTAGAACACATGCCCCATTTGCAACTTTGTCTGTATCACCAAAGTGCTTCCAAAGACTCCAGGTCAGATGAACGGAAACGGGTTGTCGACAGCAGATAGGGAAACTCCAGGATGCTCAAACGCCTCCCAAGCCAGTACAAGCCAGGCCACAATTCAAGGTGAGCTGCAAGTTATGCAGGATGACATTCTCTCAGCACTGACTGAACAACTTAATCAGTTAATTGAGTCTAATGTAGAAAATTGATGCGACGCTTTAATTTGGCACCCGCCAGCCACAATTCCAATTCCGACAATAGAATGAGACAACCCGATGCTGAGACATGGCAGGGAAATCTCTCCAATAATTCTTCCTTTGAGAGAAATTCATGAAGTCTATCTTCGGAACCATCAAGGCTGCCGGATAAGGTTGGTTCGATTATGAACGGATGGAAATTAAAATTTTCGGGTACGGGTTTGTCGGTAGATAATTTTATATATCAGGTAGAAGCCATGACAAATATAACCTTAGACGGAAACTTTGAGCTAATGTGCAAGAATGTCTCTTCGCTTTTTGAAGGGAAGGCGAAGAATCTCTTTTGGAGACACCACATAACAGTTAGGCAAATCAACTGGGAATCTTTGTGTTCAGCTTTGTATAAGAAGTATAAGGATGACAGGGATGACGGAGACATTGAAGAGTTAATAAGGCAAGTTGGTGAGGACTTTGAGAAATAATTTGAGGCCAGAAATTCGCCACGAAATCTTAAATGTCGACATATCAAGTGTATCACACCTGCGTGAAGTATGTTGCATAAGGGAAACATTTTTAGAAGATGTCAAGCGATCTCATAGATACGCTAAGACGGTTCCGTTCAAGTAAGATGTGGCGGAATAATGTGAGGTTTTTGGCACAGAGGAAGTCAGTGAAGAAGAAATGAATGGAGAAATAAAGGCGCTGAACGTGATCTGCTGGGATTGCCATAAGAAAGGGCATCTTTATAGATTGCTTAGATTCCGCCGAAAACGAAAACGTTTGGAGTCCTACATATGAGCAACACGATTCTAGCCCAGGACAATCAGATGAGGAATTTGACTCATCTCAGTGCGAAAGCGATAAATTCGAAGAAGATGAATTTGATAATAATTAAGTGGATTTCGACGAGGCTACAAAAACTAAGTCCCGTAGCGCTCAACGAATGCAAGGCTTTTGGCATGAGATGAGGCAATTAAAAGGGCATATACAACATTGTTCCCAGGATCCGCGGCCATTTGTGGCGGTGCTCTTACTTCCGCGTCTCGTGAAAGGCCTTTTGGATTCAGGAGCGGCTTTTAGCTGCTTATGAGGCAGTTTAGCTCAGCAGTTTCTAGAAGAGGGCATATCATTTAAGAAAACACATTCTAAAGTGAGCACCGCTGACGGCAATAGGCAAGAAATTGTGGGAAAAGTTTGTTTTAAAGTGGTCTACGACCGAGGGACTGAAGATATTGATATTGTAACGGCGCCTGTAGCGACTGGCGAACCTAGGTTCAGCCTAAAAGCCTACTATATAGGACCCGCTTAAACCAAAGCTTGACCTAGTGTGGCCACCTGTGACGGTTATTCGATATTTCGATAGTTTTGAACAGCTGAGCCAGGGTTGTCTTGGAAAGTTCTAGTTTTGACACCTGTCGGTCGTCATATGATATATATTTCCGCCAAAAGCCTCGCTGGTATCCAGCCGATTCCGGTTAAGTTCTTCTTATTTTAACCAGCAAGAGAAACGGACGTGTCAACAGCTCGAAATTTAATTTTTTTATTGAAAGGCTAAAAGCCCGAAATATATAATTTTCTTGTGGCATCCAGTATTTTTGAGTGGCATCCAGTATTCCAAGTGGTGTTTAGCACTCAGGGTGGCTGCCAGCTATAAAAGCTAGCCAGCGAATAAAGCTTAAAGTATTTCTAAAATTCTGGGTGAAAACCCCGGTCAGTGCTGCCTGAAGTTGCCGCCAAAGGCGCATCTTACTGATTCGGCCAATTTGCTGGAAGATTTACCTCACGAAGGCCAAAATCAAATGATTTGGAGAGATTAGTGCCCTGAAGTGCCCCTATTTACTATCTACCTATCTACGGGTCATGTAGTGCCGGCCAAGAAGAGCAGTTTATATAAAGGGGACCCGATGGCAATTTAATTCAATTACATAACCTGCCCCGATGCTCATCATGCCGCGCATCCGTACACCAGCCGAGTTTTAAGGGGTGCGCGTATCCGTCTAGGGGGTTCCCGAGTGGAATATGAACGGCCTTAACCTAGCATGGCGCACTAGCCAACCGTGTTTAACCTTAATGAAGATAAAAACTCTCTTTCGTAATGGATCAGTCCTAACCCTGTTTTATAACCAACACGCTTTGAGAAACCGAATTTAAGAATTAGTGTGAAAGAAAATCAATGAAATCAAAGATATGTAAACCATAAAGCAAACAATAATTTTTCGTAAAGCCTCAAGTGGCAACGCTATGTAAAGCGATAGTTATATTAACGAAGTAAAAGAAATTAACAAGTCGATGGGGTCAAAAGAGATAATGCACGCCGAGAAGCGTTAATTTAATTTAAGAAGAGTTATATTTTTTTTTTTTGGTTTAAATGAGAAATTTGTTATTGTAAAGTATTCAAGGAAGTACGATGAATTAGGTACGGTAACTTGTACAAGTTTAGTTTAAATCGTTCGCGCGTCTAAGAGAAATGAGAGAAATGTTTATTTGCCCTTTAAATTCTACATGGCGAGAAAAATCGCTACCCTTTAGATTACAGCCAACCCATCCCGTCCGGAGATCGATCTTCAACGTTGGAGGAAATGCCGTGAGTCACACTAACTAATCACATATATATATTTTTATTCACAGTTCTCGCCGATCCGTAAAGTGAACGAAACTTGTTTAAACATAAACCCCGATCTAAAAACAATTAATTAATTAAAATACCTTGAGTTAATTGCATTCTCTATGAATTAACTTGCGATTTTCAAAAGAAGTTGAATATAAATTACGATCGCCTATTATTAAATCTTAAAGTCTCTAATTACCGAATACATGAATTGATAAATTTTAGAAAGTCCCTTAAAGAAGTATTTCTTTACTAAAAAAAAAATAATACAGAATACCTAGAACTATCGGAAAACTATTTCTTTAAGCTAAAATTTATATTTAGTAAAATACATTG